CACAGCCCTCCGTCACCACAGCCCTCCGTCACCACAGCCCTCCGTCACCATAGCCCTCCGTCACCAAAGCCCTCCGCCACCACAGCCCTCCGTCACCACAGCCCTCCGTCACTATAGCCCTCCGTCACCATAGCCCTCCTTCACCATAGCCCTCCCTCACCATAGCCCTCCCTCACCATAGCTCTTCGTCACCATAGCCCATGACTTAAAATTGAAACCCCAGTAAGAACTTAGTCGATACGTTGCTAATTTGAATTTGCGACTATTAAATTATTAGTACCAGCAATTTGGATTTGTAACTATTAAAATATTGATGGTTTTATTTCCAACTAGACAGTATGCTCAATAGCTCATCTACTTGCAATATTGAAATTGTGGATTTATTTAATAACTGGAATGCTATTCAATATAAATAGTTTTGACAGGTTTGAATCAATAACGTCAAAATGTTAACGTTATTGCGAGGCAAAATAAATGCAATAAAATATTATTATTCCCATGAAATACCTTGAATGGTATTTTCCTACCAATGAACGCCATTGAAAGTGTCCACTTACAGCTACTGAAGTCGACGACGCACTGCTGAACGTCCAAAGGATACAGCACGAAGTCCATATCGCATTTGATGATAATGGTGGCGCTGGAACATAGCGTATGGGCCGCATATAGAAAATATCGCCATCTTAATTTGCAAGGAATATATTATTCATGCACCACATTTGTCCCCCTTGATTCAAGGCGCTCTTGAACAGTACATGCATACGCGTACGTTGCATGAGAAATAGGCCCTTGTGAGAAAAGTCCGAGATTTTTCTCACACTTTAAGTTAACAGTTTTACGAAATTACATGATGCAGTGAAATATTCCTTCGTACAAATCCGTTTATTTCAAACATTACCTTGTTCTTGTTTTCTACATTTTGTTTCACGTTAAGTTAAAGGAATCGAATTGGAACCGTTGACAATGGCGTATGTTTTTATGCAGCAACTCTCTTGTAATAATCGTGGTGTAGGCAGCATAAATGTGCAGTTTAACCTTCATAATCACTCTACTTAGCCAAAAAAATATAATGAAAAAATCTTTAAGGAATATTTGGCCTACGTTAAACCAGTCTGTACATAATTTTTTTTTTAATTTCTCAGATATTCAGTTCTGTTTTCTTCAATATTGATTTAGCAAAATTTGAACTAATGACGAAAGCAGGCTCCCGAGAGCCAGGCTTCGTGCGTCCGCTCCATTATATGGTGCGTGGCTTGAATGGTCGTGATGCGCAATTGAGTTGGCGCTGCCTCGTTACGCAAAGCCCTGTAAGCGCGTTCCGCCCGTCAGCCTGCGCTCAGTGGCTGTGACGTGGAAACCCTGCAGCGCAAGGAGTGAAGACGGCGGTTCTGACAAAGGGCCCTGAGAGGCTTCTTGGGTTTGATAGAGGGAAAATGAACAACATAATTCGCGTCAATTATTCTACTATGGTGGTCGGATAAAAGTAGTAAATCACATTAATATTATTAAATTAAGGATACTGCAGTACACTTGAAAACAACTGCTTAGGATTATCTTTTCGCTGATAAGAGCGATTGTATTATAACTTTCTGCTTTGGCAGCAGAAATATGTTAATTTTAATATGAAATCAGGTATAGCACGTGTGCTGTACACGGGCAAATGCAAATAAAAGGCAAAGCATTTTTTCCATAAAAGTTAAATTTGATATTTGTCCACGAATAGTAATAATTATGTGCCAATACGCGGCGCTGCAATAATTCAACTCAATAATTTATTACACAAGAGGATAAACGGGAAGATGCATAGTTTGCTTTGCGTGTGTCACCGCCCAGAATAGTAGATTTTTTTATCGTAAGTGATAAAGACGTACTGTAGTAGCATAGTATTGGTTATTAAGAAGTATCTCTAACCTTATAAATATGATACAAACAAAACCTTAATAACCAAAGAAAATGTAAATAAAATTCTTAGTTCTCAGCCCATTACCGTTGCCCTCAACTACAGCTGTTTCTTTTCTAGTCATCGGCGTCCCGTTTTGCTGCAAAGAGATATTTTCGAGAGTCAGTTACGTTGCATCAGTTGTCTTCTAAATACTGGAAGTAAACACTCACTTGCGATAGTTGCGATAGGATCAGCAACTCGGCGAATTCGAGAATTGTTCAGCGCGAATCGCCTAATTGTTAAGCGACCATTCGTTGCTACCACTGTAGTTATATTTTCCAATGTAATGTGATGTTACCAAATATCAATACCTAATCATGTATGGATCTTTTTAAAACCGGAACAAGTGTTTGACCTGTCATTCTCATCGGATTCTAAAAAAATGCGTGCGCAAGGACATCATTGCGTCAAATGATGACTATTGAAACCACGCGTACATCATCGCACAGACTGACCTAGTGTTCTGCCTCGTCAGGAAAAATTCAGTGTTTGAAAAATTCCAGATGGAGTGAATTACATCCCGATTGGTTTAAATCTACTTTTTACTTTGGGCAGAGAACTATTCAAGCCAATCATCAGAGAACGGTCTACTGCCAAGTTGAGGTATAAAAACCCGATTAGATGACGTCTTATAGAGTGAGAAAAGTAAAAAAAAAAAAAACTACGCGAAGTACAATATTGTGTTAGAATGACATGAAGATGTTACCTTTCTGGTAAACTGTGTTGTATATTTCGTTCATCAATGATGTTTTTCACAATATCATAAGTAAATAAAATCTGAGTTGTGCCCTTTCTTATTTACTGTCTACTGATTTTGCTTAGAGTTCCTTCTTCCCGTCAATTTTGCAAAATTGTCCAGTTAATACATACATTCGTAACAATACCGAGAAATTATAACTTCATTCGTCAAGGTTAAAAAAAAACCTTGTTTATGTTTAAATGAATACCATCCATTCAAAAACCCATGAACCGCGAGAAATTATTTTGCGTGTTGCCATGTAGACTTCAATATTCTTCACCTGTTGGCAGGCCAAGTTGTATAAAGCTTTCTTTCTACTTTCACATGAAAATGTGAAAACTATTTTTAGCTCGGTGAATGAAACGATTCAAAGTCTTGCGGCAATTTTTGATTATTTATGACGCATTTGTATGTATAAAGAGGAACGGGTGTATCTTTGAACAACCGCATTATATCGAGTTGCTTGGGTATAGATTTCTTTGCGTTCGTTCTCCGCTCGTGTTAACATCAGCCCACCGTATCGTTCGGTACTCTCAAGAACATGAATGCAAAGTAATTCACGTCAGAAGAAGCCGCTAAAAATACCTGTGGAGGTTTTCAGGGGAATTATGGAAATGAAGCAGCAAGAGTTGATTGATCGCTCCAGTTGTACGGGAGGCGATGGCGCACGGTGTGTGCTCCGGATACCCTCTGCGGAGGGGGGGAGGGAGAACTCGTTGCCGACTTCGGAGGGCACGGCCCGACCCGACCCGACCCGACCCGACCCGGGCCTAAAAACTGGCGCATGAGGTCAAGTGTACCAGTTTGTAACGAGAAGCGGGGGGGGGGGGGCGCCGTTTTGCTACTTTCTCGCTAAAGAGTGGAAGATCTATCGTTTTTGGCTCCATCGTTTTTGATTAAATGTTGTTGTTGGGTAGTGTGAAGGACGTTGAAGAGAACGCCGCAAAATAATGGTGCTAATCTTCGTCAAAAGTAATCTTCGTAGTAATTGTTTGTAAAAATTGCAAAAGTTCCAAATTTTTCCTGTCTTCCTTCAACGAAAATATTGAAGATGGATATTTTTACTTAATGAAATCTGTTCCTTAAAGAGGGTCATGTAAAATGTTTGAAAATTTGAGTACTTTTTGCGTAATTTTACCTGAAAATTCGGGCGAGAAAGTACATGCTGTTTTATCATCACTAGTTAATTTTAAAATTCGTTAATTTAGAATCTGAATACACATCGATCAGACTTTCAACTCTACAGATGACTGATGTCTTATTCTCAGTTTAAGAAGTAAAGAGTGGCGAAACTCATCGAACACCACAAGAGCGCGCACTCATGATATAAATCGATGAAGTCATCTTATTAATAGAAGGTATAGAAACATGTTAGTGATGAATGAAGTGCATATTAGTTGTTTTATTTTATTCTCAGGAAGGGAGGGCTATGTACACCGACTATATAGAAGGATGCTCCCGTTAGGTTAGGTAGATGGAAGAAGTTGTGGGAGGTATGAATGATTGGATCTTTTATTGGTTTTAGACAGAAATCGGAGTGAAGGGTTGCTTTCCTGACAGACCACGGGGATTTGGTTGCAATGCGGATGATTCTGGTTTGGAAAATTTGGATCTTGTTTATGCGAGATGTTGCTCCATGACACCGGATCGTGCATGCTTGAAAGAGAAGTGAAGGGAGAATAGATTTGTGCAGGAGCACTGTATTTTGGGAGCGGATGCTGCTTTTGCGGTTTAGAGTGGGTCGATGCGATGTGCGCTCTGTACCGAACGCGAGAAGTGCGGGTGGGGAGACGCCTAATGGGCTAGCGACGAACCGAACGTGGGGGCTGGCCTCGTTACCCTCGTGCCGATGTTCTTGGGTGCCTCAAAACGAGAAAATTATATTTGATGCTGCATGGCAAGGCGCATGTCCTTTCCAGGTGCTCGTCGATCAACAGGTCCAACACATGCGCAGTTGGGCTTTAGCGAATTCCTCACGTTTGCTCCGCCCTATGATTTTGAAGCTCTTACTGGAATAACTTTTACATATTTATCGTGTCTTTCTCGAAGTATGTACAGATATTACAGTTGTGAAAAAATCTAATAAACTTGTAATAATTGTAAATTTTTGTCGATAACGTGATTTGGTTATCAATAAATTTGAGGTACAATTAGGCCGGCTCTGATAGTCCCTCACTGCGACTGTACAGACGCGAAACGCAGCGCCTTGCCTGTGTCACACGTTCCTGAACACTTCGAATGGCATTTACCGTAACTCCCTCTTGTTTTCTCAAATGTGGGGTGTAAGGAACAAGTTGGCTATTTGTATGCAAGTGAATTGTACCGGCAGACAGTAATAAGTTTTAAGTTACATTTTTATGTCATTGTAAATTTATTAAGCTCTGGAATGTACATCCCCGCTGTATTTAACTTTACTAAGTTTAATTATGGGCAAAAATATATTGAATCGTAGTCTGATAAAATTTGATTATAAAAAATATTGGTGCTCGTGTAATATAACCTATTTCCTAGGCAATTGATCCAAGGGTTTTCTCTCTTATCAAATTGGTTTATCCAAAATAATTGTGATATTAATGTTTTTAGTAGTTTGTAATGATGGAATCATAGTTGAATCAACTTTAAATAACATTTGAGAATAATAAGAAAATTTAAACGTAAAATTTTGATTTCAGTGTTCTTCTGCAAGACTCAAAAGAATGTGATGAGAAAATTAGTTCAACGACCCTTTTATAACATTTCAATTGCAATTTTTTAATCTATGCTAAAAATGGAAATGGGTGTGTAATCGTTCGTAGGATATTTTTGCCAAATATTTCTAATACTTTCGCATCAAAGGTTATTTAGTTATAATTAGTTTGTTCTCTTAACTTTAAAATGCGGAATGAAAGTGATTGAATGAGGAACTACAAGTACTACGCCCAAGCCGATATATTTCAGAAAAATGATACAGTAACTGGCAGAGCAGATGGATGAAAGTATTTGAATTATCCTAAGGCTAAACTGAAGTCGCTGGTATCCTTCCTTCCACAATAAATTACGCTGTCGCCTTTCCCACTGAGTAGAGCAATGTTTCTCGCTGACGAGTGGCGTTGGCGGTGCGGAGGGTGGGTGGCTCGGGTGTCGGCGAGGGGCGAGGGGCGAGGGGCGATGGGCGATGGGTGATGGATGGCCGGGTGATGACTTCCGGGCGCGCGCCGGCGCAGCTGCGCTCCGCGTCGTCAAGTTGCGCGCTAATGCGCAGCGCCCACACCCACCCCCCGCCGCCACCCCCACTTTCACGCTCAACCAAGGACAACGGTGCTGCAATGCACTCGCTGACGCACCGCAAATAAGAATCCTAAATGTCACAAATGACAAATATTCAGACAATCTCTGAAGCATATTTCTAACAGACGGGAGTTCTGACGTGGTTTCTCAAATCACTTCTAAGCGAATGCCGGAGAAGTTCCCTAAAAAACGGGTCACGGACTGCGCGTGATCTTTTCTTTCTCTTCCTCGTCCTATACTGATACGCACACACACACACACACACACATTCTCACACTTGCGTGAAATTTTAACACCACACACGCCAGATGATAACTTTGAAGTTTCGGCTTTGGGTGTAGGTGAAAGTACATGGAGCGCAAATGATGGTAAGGGTAACGTGTAAGTAGACGTTTTATCTAGGAGCAAACGCGTCACCTCGCGGTTTCACTATACATACAGGACTAATGACCAAAATGGCTGACGCACTGGGAAGTACTAAACACTCGGTCACTCACAATAGATGGCAAGAAATCCGTTTCTGGGATTTAAAACATCTTTAGAGGTATTTCCGTAAGTAGGAAAATATGCTAATTATCCCATTAGTTATATTACTATTGCGTAAATGATCATTCCCGAGTCAGAGCACAATTGGAGCCGAAAACTAGTAGAGATGGAAGCTCATGTAGAGCTAAATTCAAAATTTCAAGTGCGACAATTCAGCTCACTTGTAGGGCGGCGTAGGCGATATTTAGTCCAAAAGCAGTAAAAAACTATGTGATTTATGGGGGAGAAGGTCATCTGCAAACGTTTTCTTGAGTTCCAGAATCTCTTCCCATTACCTTAAGATGAGTAGAAGTTTAACATAAATAAATAAATAAAAATAAAATTAAAAAAAAAACGCGAGATGTGCAATTTCTGAAAAACTAGATATTCTCGTTTTTAATTTATAGACAAAAACTGATTCACAACGGTAAACGAACTGATTTGATTTTTCTGCATTTCTACCAAAATAGTAACTCGCTCTTACCTTTACTTCTACCACTACAAGCAAAAGGAGGGTTCAACAAAACGTGCGCAAAGTGAAGATACATTTGCGTTCAGAAGCAAAACAAAGGGCTATCTCAGCATTTGCTCAATGGTTCAGAGAAACTGGACAAAACGTGATCGAAATGGGGATTATTGACCCGGAAGCGGAAGTACATTACTTGTTACAGGCATATTAAGTCTTTTTTTTTAAATTACACAATACAGATGTAAATTAATTCATTTTGTATCATTGTTTTAAATATTAATATTAACATAAATATTATTATTATTATTTTGTTCAGTACAGTCTCTAATTGTATAAAAGCAGTTTTGCAGCAGAAAAGATTTTACTTTTAACTTAAATTTGTGTACCGATTTCAATTGTTTAGTGTCATCTAGCAATGCGTTGTAATGTAACGTACATGTATTGTATGTGAACTGCTGGTAGTGAGCTGCTGATACTGACACTTGATGACGTGGGTTGTAATTATAAATATTAGTATTGCATGAAAATAAGTTACCACCGCTAAGTAAGTCATTTTTGACAAATATTACAGATTCGTAAATAAATAAGCACGGCATTTGGTAAGATTCCAAGCCCAGTGAAGAGCACAGGGATCTCGCGGATGACATATTCTCATTATTCGAATAATTTTCTTTTGCAATCTTAAGGTCTGGATACTACATGGTGAGCTTCCCCAGAATATTATGCCATATCTCAGGTGGGAATGCACACTAGCAAAATACGCGCCACGATCTCCATGAAACACTTTGGTTGAAACAATTTTGGGTTTAGCATTGTTAACATTACCACTTTTTTTAAATTCGTCTTTAACATATTCAGAAAATGTCACAGTAAGTGCAAGAATACGCATAATTAAATACAAGAGTGTGATTGAAGATGACGAGAACTAATTCGAGGAAGCATAGCTGCGAGTCAGCTGGCCCTGTAGTGACATCACCCACATCATTCCTCATTTTGATCCGCAGAGCGACTCTACTAATTGGCTCTGTAAAGCCACTATCCCAGATTGTTGTTATCGCTTCTGTCTCATTTGGTCAGCGAGTGGCCATTCATGGATGTAATTAGCGCTGGTTTTATCCATCGGCCGATGAAACCCCTATCAAGTTGCTATTGACCGCCGTGACTCAAGGGGCACGAGCAAAGAGAACATTTTATGATCATACAAATAATCTCGTGCTACTGCACCCAGGGATGCAAATGTCTCATCGACACATCTTCACGAAACTGTGATAACAGTGTTTTTTTCTTTATTATATTATTTTTGGTTCGGAAATTAGAGAATTAATTAAGGATATTAAAACAACCGGCTTTACGTCCGTCGTGTTCATAATTTAGTTCTAAACATGGCAACAATTTTCTATACATCTTTCACATACGGCGTTTTGTAAGGCTTATTTTTAATTTTCTTTTTAATCGAAAAAGAAACACATTTCGTACACTCCTTAAATGCTGACAATTATGTAGACATGACATTAAGTGGGCATGAAAGAGGGCCATGAAAGAGAGCGAGCGCCCAGCGCCAAGGCAACTCACCCGAAGCTGATGCGCAGCGTGGAGTTGCGGTAGAGGCGCAGCGACGTCATGTCCTCGAACAGCGACAGCACCTTCATCTCGCGCAGCTGCCGGATGTAGAGGTCGGGCACCCAGAGCGCGTGGCGGTGCTCCCACGTGATCTCCACGTGCTCGTCCAGGTGCTGCTTGAGGCTGATGCGCGTGTCCATCCAGTAGACGTACAGGAACACGTCCAGCGAGATCTCCTGCGCAGGCGCGCACCCCGCCAATTAGCATTGTGGGCCTACCCCGAGACGACCGGCGGTAGCCCGAGAAAATTACGAGAACAAAAACCTGTCAAGGTATATTACATTAAAAATATTGATAAGCCACAGCCTTTTTCAGTTCTGATTATTATTATTATTATTATCGCAGGCAATTGATTACTTTTTATTTACTGATGTCTGAGTAGAAGTATACATCTGCGCAAAATTATATCTAACGATAAAGTCGCCGCACTCTATCTAGTTATTAATGGAGATAATCATAACAAGTAGATTGATAATGAAATGGTAGTTTTTCGATCACTTCCCAATTAAGATTCGTAGGCTTTCTCGGCCGGATCAGTACTTGCAGTTCGCGGAGACGCGACCGCGTCCTAGTGCCAACTTTCGGCCGCTACTCTGCGACATTCCTCTGGCGAAATGCAAGAAATCATGTGTGATATTCCGCGGTCAGCCAAGTAGTCAGACTTCCCATTATCGGAACGCACAGACGTGTATAGCCTCTTTGCCAGACGTTCGTGAGCAAGGGCTGGAGGGATGTGTGAGGTCAGCAGGCAATAGAAGTTCACTCAAAGACTTTCAAGTTCGCATCGTTCTCCCGTCGATTCTGATTGTGCATTTTCATGCGATGGCGATAGCACGTGCGCTATGATGGGAGGGCGGCGCTTCTAATTAAATCGGCGGTCGAGCCACGCCCTCGATTAATCAGTCAGAGCGGCTCGCGTCTGCAGTGCGGCGCGCGGGGCGGCGCCGCGGGGCGGGGCGGGGCGGGGCGGGGAGGGAGGGAGGGAGGGGAGGCGGCGGCAGGGTGGGGCGTCGACTGACCAAGCAGCTGTAA